GGCGGGCGCCCGCCCCACGGGCCGCTCGGCAGGAGAAGCTTCCCGAGCGGCCCCCGTCGACGACTGGAGGGAGGGGTCAGGAGTGGAGGAGGAAACGGCCGGTTGCGGTGATCCCCGCTCTGCAGTTCCCCGTTGTTTCCGCGGATGTCGTCTTGAAGTGAACTGGTGACTGCCTGAAGGCGGCGGCACTGACGCTGTGAAAGTGGCCGTGCTTAGGTCCTGACCGTCAACACTTTCCTGGCTGATGTTGCTGTTCTCAACCACAAGAACGGCTCCGCCTCTACTCCCACCACTCAGCCCACCTCTGCTGGTTACACCTACGTCTGACACAGACTCTGACTGAACTTTGGAGCTTGGCCGATCTCTGGACCGCATCTGGGCTGTGTTTGATTCCTGGTTCCTGTAGTGAGAATGCGGCGTGGGCTGCGTGTGGCCCAGGTGGGGGCCTCTGCTGCGAGAGGCAGGTGGTCTGGAGGGGATGTAGCTCCGTGGGGCAGAGGAAAAAGGATGAGAAGGAGATGGTGTCGAGGACGGTTGACTGGAGGAAGGTGGAGGACCTCCTCGATGCACACCTCCTCCCTGCCAGGATCGAGCTCCTCGCTCTCCTCCACCCTCCCTCCAACGTTTGTCTCTGCTTGGTGACAAACTCTGCCTGTAGGGAGACAGAGAGGACACGTCAGACGGTCACACCAAACATGAACAAATATTTACTCACTGTTTTAACAGGTTTTGTGGCAGTCAGAGCATGAAAACAATAGTTCCCTTCTTATTCTCTGTGTGGAGAGCAGATTTAATTAAATTAATTAATTTAATATGAATCTCACCTTGGCCTCCGCTGTCTGTACGGACGGTCTCCAGCTCCACCACCATTCCTGATGTCGTAACCGTAGATCGCTATGAGCTCTTCTCGACTTTTGGGCGCCTGCTCTTCCTCCCTGAACCTGTCGTGCTCCCAGCGACCGTCGTCCTTCCATAACTTCCTGTTGCGGCCCTTAGGTCTGAGGAGACATTAAATCTGGTCTGAAGTAACTGAACTGGATCAACCTGGAACACTGCAAACCATCACAGCTTAGAGCCAACTCCTGTTTTGCTGCTGATACCTCTCCTCTTCCTGGGCGTGACCTCTGACATCATGCTCGAAGAACAGCCCCTTCCTAGGGATGTAGGCCGGGTTTTTCCTGTCCTCGTCATCATCAAGCTTTTGGCCAGACTTCCCTCCCTTCAGCTCGGGGTCTTCAGTGGACTCCTGTTGGTTTCAGTCATGAACAAAAGTCATTTTGCTGAATTTCTAACGGGCCTGGGGTCAACAGATTTAAGATGTTTGCAGGAGTTCAGCACAAAAATTACTAATTGGCACTTCTTTTAAGTGGTGACCAGCCCAGGGTCCACCAACCAAGGTTTCACTCTTTTACAACATCCATCTTTGTCTCACCTGGCCATCACCACTCTGTCTCTCTCCAGCTAGGTTTCCTTTTTCCTCCAATTTGCTCTCGTCTTTGCTGGGTCCATCGTCCTCCTTCTGAACCTCCTCCTCCTCCCCCTCCAGCTCCCCCTCAAACTCCCCCTCCAACTTCCCCTCCTCCTCCGCTGCTTCTATCTCCTCTGCCTGACCCTCAGTGGGGCAGCTTGGAGCAGGGGGCTGGGTCTCAGTGGCCGCTACTGCGGCTGGAGGCTCTTCATCACTGTACTGCTCTGCTTCCTCTTCCTCCTCCAGCCCCTGCCATGACACACAAAGGTTCAGTTTGTCTTTTTAAAACTTTTGTTGTTCGGTAATCATTTTTTTACTTCACTGAAAATATTTTGACACATAATTTGTTTTCCATCCTCTTTAAGTCATCAATTTACAAACCTTTGGTCTAAAATAACTTATTTTATATTTAGGAAAACATTTATTTACAGTCTTAGGTTGACTATGTTTTTGAGTTAACATTAGTCATGTCTTTCCAAATTCATTAGTGTATTACCTCTGAATGGGAGCAGTTTTCCTCTTGGTCGGCACTGTCATAGTCTGAGAGTACAGCTGTAAAGATACAAAAAAAACTTTATTTTACAAAAATGTATACGCAGACCATTCTGACCCTTATAATCAAACACATGTCTTAGGATTTAATGTGCAGTTATTGCATCAGATGATCATCATTAGTGGGAGTTTTGTGTTTCTTACCGTCTCCTACTCCATCTTCACTCTCCTGTAAAGAGACCAAAAGAGAATCAACTATGGCAAAAATAAAACATATCTGTGAGAGCGCAGAGAGAGGGAGTTTTTTTTTTTAATTTAAAAATGTACAACGTGCCACGTTTTGGGCGTTTCCCTTGTATCACGTAAACAATTTAACTTATTCAGACCTGAAACATGAGGAAACATCTGTAAAGGTCTAAGTTAACATTTGGACAACAATAACTTTTCAGATATTTGGAGATGTTCTCCGTCATCCTGGTTATTTTCTCCCATAAGTTCTGAAGCCAGATTCAATTGCCTACTGTTAAAGCACCACTGGGAACCACCTAAAGAAATCTTAACAGATGCTTCTTGATAGTATATACAGGCTAGGAAACTTACACGAACTTTTGTGATTTTTCTTTTAGACAAATGTCAAATATTTTGAATGCATCTAGCTGTTGAGTCTCAGCTCCAGACCCGACGGCGGTTCTAACGCAGTGACTCTGTCATATTACATTAAACGGAAATCACGCCACAAGTCAGAAATATATTCACCCATAGAAGCGACTGTACAACAGTAACACCGAGCTTGGGCCCAGGGCTCGGTCCCGGAGAAAGTCTCTCAGGAAGCGAACTGTGGTTGAGCTTCTGGTCAGTACACGGGACTCAGCGGTGGACTAGCCTAGCCCTTGGAGTTAGCATCTACTCACACATTCAGACTCCACGTCGCTCTTGGCCTCGACTCGAATCGGAGTCGTCTCCACCGGCACCGGTTCTTTCAACCGCCCCTTCGTCGAAGGAGAAGCCGACCTCCCACTGTCGGAAGTGGAACCTGACTCGTCGTCGTCCTCGCTGTCCTGGGACGCGCGCTTCCTCCGTCTGCGCCGGTCCGCCATCTTAGAATTGGAATGGTAGGAACCGGAAGAAGGCAGCGTATTGTGGGTTCTTCTTCCTGGATACAGCAACGACACACAACTTCTTAGGATTCCTCTACTGGCCACATGCGGTACTGCAACAAAAACCGTTTATTTTGTGATTTAGAAATTGCTACAAAAAAGGGAGATGAAAATGGCTCAAAAGTGCTGATGTTATCCTAACAATGTGTATTTCTTATATTCTCAGATTTTATATTGATTTTTCTACCTCTTTAAAAATATGGCTCAATCAAATTACACCACTTTGTGTTTGGATTTCAAAGGGTCTTACATTAGATGGTTGCCCAAAGCTTTTTAATTTCCTAATGTCTTGGATAAGAGCATGTTTGTACACAAGATGTGCAACAAACCTCTGGTCTGATCTAAATCATTGATTTTCTCTCTGGGTTAGATCCCAAATAATTTTTCCTACATTAAGAATTTATCTTAAAAGTAGAATTACCAGTTTAATCAAACATCTTCAGGTTAATGTCATGAACTTGATTTGGGATTTATTGTGTGAGACTTCAAAGATAAACATGTCAGATCACAGAAGTCAGTTCCTGTGAGAAAAGACAACTCTGGAAGGAGGATGGGTTAGAAATAAAAAGTACAGACACAGTGTAATCCAGAGAATTTTTAATTTCTGCTTTGTTATGGTCACATATTGGATTCCATCCAAACCATTAAGTGTTGACTTCTGAGGTGCGTGTTGCTGAAGGGAGAAGCTGCAGACCAAGACACTACAGTGAACATCATTTCTGTGTGTAAGCTGGTTCACTGGTCCTCCCGCTGCCCTTTGTCATAGCGCCCCCTCTCTTCCTCTCGCCATCTCCTCAAACGGCTGCTGGAAACCCCTGCTGTGACCACTGTGGAACCTGGCTCCTCTGTAGTGATGGTTCCCAGGCCCCCCTCTGTTTCTAGAAGGTTGCCTAAATAAGCGGTGTGGACCCCGCCTCCTTCCTGGAGGTGCATGGCTGCCCACTGAGTCTGCGGTGTGTTTAGTGTCCATCCGGCCATCAGGATGGAATCCCCTGACTGTTACTGGATCTCTCGGTTCTGTGTGTTCTTGTGCTGGATGATGAAGATCAGCCAATTCTTGCTCTGTCACCGTTCCATGGGTGTGGGCTGTGGACAGACCCAGTTTGTCCAGTCGCTCTGTGACAGCAGCTGCTTGACCCGGTTGATGTCTGGAACCACCTCCTCTCCTTGGCCCAATTCCCCTATTGTGACGCCTGTGGCCCGGCCCGCCTCTGCGCTGGGTGGGTCCAAAAACAGAGTGTTCCGCCTTCATACCACCTTCTTCATCAGGCGGAGCGTTAGATGCTGTAGGCTCTGGAGGTCCATTCAGTGTATCCACAGGTGGTACCTGAGGGAGATGATCAGAAAACAATCATTTTCTCTCCATGTCTATCATCATACATCTGTATAATACATTATAAGTGTATATACACAGGAGTCAACATCGGCACATCTTTTAGAACATTAAACATACTCTTCCTACCTCATTGATATGGATCAGAAAACGATTGGACTCCACCTCCAGGTCGATGATCCCACCTCTAGACCGCTGCCTCTCCCTCAGCCTCTGGAGTTCCATCCACTTCTGCTGGAAGTCTGCACCAATTACAGCCTGGTCCAGCTGAGGGACCAGAACCAAAATATTTATATTTGCTGATGAAAACCAAACTAAAATAAAAAAACAGGTTAATGGACTATTGGGACTAAGAGTGAGTTACAAGTAAGTCAAAAAACTAAGACTAAATTCAAGCTTGCTGCCTAAGTTACACTGGAACAGAAGGACTGGTTATGGATGGTGGTATGTTTACCTCAGGCAGCTGTGGAGCAGGAGACGCCAGCAGCTGATCAAGGTCATAGTCCAGAGGCTCTCGACACACAGGACAGACCACTGACAGCTCCTGAAAAAGAACTGAGGAGGTGAGTGTCTGACTTTCTGACACTGAGTGATCAGCAGAGCTGCTGATACCTGAGGCTGCAGCTTCTCTCGAGTCTTGTCCTCCTCTAACTCCTTCTCCCTCTGATGCAGCTCCTGCTCTGAATGGCAGGCGTAGCGGCCCAGGCAGTGGGAGTGGAAATAGTGGTAGCAGCTGGTCTTGGTGAACGCCTCTTCTTCCTGAAAAACACAAGTAGTGGATGGCTTTCAAGTGTAAATGTGGTCACTCACATCTGTTTCAGCAGATTCAGAACACATCAACCTTCAGAAGAAACAACTCACCTTAAAGCCATAGAGGCAGATGACACAGTTGCCATGAGGAATATTACTTTCTGTCAGGATTTCTTTTGCTTTCTGAGGGAAAGGAAAGAAACATTGGGATTGTTATAAAGTGTCTAAAACTGACTAATTAACTAAAACTCAGGTTAGAACTAAAATGACATCAAAAATCAGTGGGTTCTTCACTTCTGCTTGTATTTATATTCTAGGCAACATGTTCATTACTTAGAGAGCGTTTTTTTTTCCTGAGTCAGTTCCTAAAGTGTCAGTGGGTTCTTCACTTTTGCTTGTATTTATATTCTGAGCCACAGAAGGAACATTTTCATTAAGACTTAGAGAGTGTTTTTTTTCCTGAGTCAGTTCCTAAAGTTACACACAGGAAGTGACATCACAGGAGTTAAACACTGACCTCAATGAGCTGATACAACACTGGTGAGCCGAGACTGGACTGAGCTTCTAACTGGAGACACTTCTGGACACTGAGACAGAAGTGGAGGGACACAGTAAATATGTTTCCAATTATCAATTAACCACAGACTCATTAGAAAGTTTTAATCATCAAAATAATAATGTATGAAATGTGTCCACATTGACATCTCATGTTACCAAAGACTGTTTTCACCTGCTGAGCTTATCATCAGACAGACCTCTGGGGTTATGGATGGAGATGATGGGAGAAGACCCAGGATACTGCAGACAGGACCAGGAGAGGAAACAGGTTATTGTGTATTTAACAACAACAGATAAGAAGTGACATCATCCCACTGGAAACAAGGGCTACGATAGGTTAGAGCTTATTCAGGTTCTGCAAGGAACATTTCTGTCAGGAAAACACATGAAATTAACTGTCATTCACCAAGGACCACCACCACTGTCGGGTGTTGGGTGAATCGTCATCCACACAAGAAAATAATTGTGAAAATAAAAGTGTTTTGGTTCATTCTCACTTGAACAACTATACAGACTGAATGTCCATGTGAACATCAGAGCGTACCTGCTGATCCAGCGTCAGCATCAAGGTTAGTCGGACAAACTGGGACATGGAGTCCTCTGCAGTGGACGGGTACAGGACAAGGCTCACCTCCCATCCTCTGCAGCACAGAAAGTTCTGGTCAACTCAACAACCCTGGTACAATTACATTGCAAAGTTGTTGTTGTCATAGATGTTTCAGTTCAAAGGTGGTCTGCAATGTGTAGCCACTGCAGAGCCTGTTTCAGAACAGAATCTCGCTTCAAGATGTGTACAGTAGCATTGACTTGTGTTTCCTCACCTGTTCTCAGTCTCCTTCACCTGAAGTTCATCCAGGTAAATCGACTGGAGCACCTCGATTTCACTCAGAACACTGAGGACAAACACAGTTCATTTAGAACGTGAACACAGCACGCCACGACAGCAAAGGATCAATGCTGTCATGGGACGATGGTAAAGGGTCAATCCGTTAATGTTAGCATGTCAGCAGAGCTGTAAACTCCGTTCACTTTAACGTTTTTAAAACAAACAATTTAGGAACAACAAGGACGGTTAAACCCAGATCAACGTAGAAAACATAAGCATATCGTAGTGTGCTGTAAAATTGCTGGTATTTTTATCAACACAGCAAATATAAACGTGTATGTAAAACGAAACTTAATTTTAACAAAAATACAAACTGAAACATAACACATGTCAGTACACTGATTAAAACAAGATTGCAACATTAAGATATCAGTAGATTTTAAACAGAGCTAAAGTCCCATGTACGCAACGATTTTAACAGTAAAGGCATTTGCTCAGAGTTTGAAATGCCTCTATCTTTAGCATTTAGCTAAGTTCTAATCAATGCTAACAGCAGCAGGGTCTTAGGGCCGATATCAGCGGAGTGAGAGAGTTTTAAACACTGTTTTTGTCAGATCAGTATTAATATCAATGCTTTTACTTTATTTTATTTTAAAAAGGGCAGATATTTGGGTTTCAAGCCAAACTCAGATGAACTTACTCGCTCTCCGCTGCCATGATGGTGACGTTTATTTGACCGGAAGTCGCGGATGTGTTCCTCACATATCAAGTTAAAATACACACCAAGTGACCGTTGTTCATTAAATATGTTTGCATGATATGCTGGGCGTGCGTTGATGTTTATATATTGAAAAGGGTTCCGGACCCTTCATTGTTAGTCTGCAGCGGCGGAAGGTGTTAGATTGTTTTGAGCTTTCTTTAGACCTGGTTTGTTTTGTTTTTCTCTCGCGAGATTTGGCAACACTGTCAGGCACTTTCCACCAGTTAACATGGCTCAGTCTGGGCTGCAATTTGAGTGTCAGATGGGATAAAGAGTGTGATAAAACGGACGGGTGTGTGATGGAAGCCGACTCGGTGCCCGTATCCGGACCTGCTCTTCGCATGTCCGTCGCTGCTGCTTGGGATAAGGTCGCAGCGGCTTTGGTGAGTTAGCATCGAGCTAGCATCCAGCGATGGAAGCCCGCCGCCAAACCTAATTCAAATATCTTAGCACGTATCGTTTTCCCCTCTGCCACAGCGGTCTGCTTCCACGGGACAAAACTGAGATCTATGTCTAATTATCGGGGAAAATTCCGGATGTATAAATACTTTTACCAGACTTTTCTGGTCTCTTGTCCCACTATTTATACGTCTGTGCAGCTGGCTCAGGAGACGTTTAATCGATAACGTACAACTTAAATATCCAGAACATTGTGATATTTAAAATAAAAATTATTTGACGAAAAAGAAATTTACCAACCTGCTGCCACTGTGATTTACTCTGACGCGCCACTATGTGATGCTGCATCTCTCTTTTCTGACACAGCTTCACTGCTCATTGGATCTGCTCTGTTTTAAATCTTATTTCTTGTACGTGTATGTTAAAATAAAATATGTTAAAGTAATAATAAATAATTTAAAAAAAATAAGCGATCCAACTATTAGCAGAGAAGACAGAAACTCTTTCAAACGCACATTTAAAGACATTCACACTCTTATCTTCAGGACAATGTTGACGTGCTGGTTTTTCCACTGTCAGGTGTCTCCTGGGTGCCTGCAGGAGGAGCAGGGTCTTTTGGACTCTTTGGTTCTGCTCGGTGATCATGGTTTGGACCAGCTGCTGGGCAGCTGGCTGCTGGAGACCCTGCAGATGTGTTTGTCCTCGTCGGTGGTTCCTGAATTCTGGTCTGGACTCAAGCAACCAGAAAATGAGCTGGAGGAGCGAGACAGGGCCTTGGTTCTTCTCGCTGCCTTCCGAACACTGTTGGACCGACTGCAACCAAGTCTAGGCAAGTAGAAAAAAGAGCTGGAAACCAGATCAGGACAAAAACAAAGGTTTGAACGAGCATTTTTTTCTTCTTCTAGATGGGTTGGAGCAGCTGGGGATCTGGCAGGAAGAAGGTCGAGGCGGTCTCTCTGGTCTGGGTCCCAGAAGCCTCAAGGAGCGGGCCGTCACCATCATCAGGTCCCTCCTCCTCTTCTCTCCAGATCCCATTCTCCAGGAGCGAGTGCTGGAGTTTTACAGCAGGACGTTTTCTGTGTACATGAGCCAGCAGGGGGAGCAAGAGGAAAGGGGCAATGATAGTCCAGAGGGAAGACTTTGCCAGGGCTGTGAGGTTCTGACTGCCCAGTGCTGGTGTCAGGAGGCTCTGGAACACCTGCAGGAACTCAGCCACATACTGTGAGTGGACACAAAGGTCCTGAACCACAGAACCTTCCAGGTCCTCGTCTTTTTCATCTGAACCACAGAACCTTCCAGGTCCTCGGTTCTGTCACTCTTTGGATATTTTGTTTTCTGCTCACCAACCAATTTCTCTCCACACTTTTACCTTCAAAGATCCAAACTGCAGCTGCTGGAGAGGGTCAGCTCTGAGTCAGTCACCTCCATCCTCCACAAACTGATGGAGCAGAGAATGGAGCGGCACTGCAGGGGGGAGTACGAGTGCTCCTTCCTGGTCAACTTCCAGGAGGTGAGTCAGGGGACACGGACCACACGACCCAGGGGTCGGACCAGGACCAAGGTCTCATTCTGACCCCGAGATAGTTTTTACTGAAGGACGAGTCTGGTCTATATATTTACACCGTGTTGTCACAAACAGACTGAGATTTCTCCAAAAGTCAGGATTATTGTCTTAATCCCAGATTCTAAGTAAAATCTGAATCAAGTCGCTCTGATTCTGACTTCACCTTTATGCTCCACCTGTGTTCATGTGCAGTGGTTGGAGCTGGTGCTGGGCTGGCTCAGCAAAGTCTTTGATAGCGAGGCCGACGCAGATGCCCCGACCTCCACTCCCGGAGCAGCTGGAGACCAGAGCCGTGGCTGCTCCAGCTCCAGCTCCATCCTGAAGCAGTGGAGGTGCCACATGCAGCAGTTCTTCTGCAGGATCTACGTCAACATGAGGATTGAGGAGCTCTTCAGCATCATCACAGGTGAGCAGAGCAGAAAACCGGTTGAGTCAGGCTCGGTGACCTGATGCAGATTTGGTGATTCACAACTGTGGCTCTCTGCTTCCCTTAGATTTCCCAGAATCCAAAGCTGCCATCGAGGACCTGAAGTTTTGCCTGGAGAGGACAAACCAGAGGCAGCAGCTCATCACCTCCTTAAAGTCGGCCTTTGAGAGTCGACTCCTGCACCCAGGTTTGTTTGTGTCAGAGTCCTGCTGCTGGTGGAGTTGGCAGATGGACCAAAGTTGGTGGAAATAATTCAGAGTCTGTACTGAAGAAGTGGACAAACACCACTTCTCCAACTTTGTCCTCAGCTCGTCAGTGAGAAAATGATGACTGCAGCTCCCTGCACCTCCATTGACAACAGCAGAGGGCGCCATTTCCACATGGTTCTGTGATTTTCATTTACATATTTGAAAATGAACGTGTGTGTCCATCTGTCCTCAGGTGTTCACACATCTGACATCCTCACCGTCTACATCTCGGCCATCAAAGCGCTCAGGGAGCTGGACCCGTCCATGGTCATCCTGCAGGTCGCCTGTCAACCCATCCGCAAATACCTCAGGTCAGTCGCTGATAGAGGCAGCTATGGATCAACAACAGCTGAGCTAAAATCACTGATTTTCTCTCTGGCGTTTCGCTGCGGTGAAGTGTAGTAACCAACTGATGCTTCTATAGATTTACATCCATTTTCTCAGACAGCGTCACACGACCACAACAATATGAAAGTGTAAACCTGTCAAACTCACGACGACTAAAACAGAATAAGTGATAGACCTGACTGAAAAAAAACTGGAACCTTCCAGGACTCGTGAGGACACGGTCCGACAGATCGTAGCTGGATTGACCGGAGATCCTGAAGGCTGCACAGACCTGGCCTCGGAGCTGTCCAGAGGAGACCCCGTCACCCTGGAGATGCAGGACAGTGACGAGGAGGGCAACGACCCCGAGGACTGGACTCCTGACCCTACAGACGCAGTACCAGGTACCAGTCATTCAGAACTGAAGAAGTTCCTCAGACCACGTCAGTGGGCCGTCCTGATCCCACTCTGCTTTTTGTTTCCCTGCAGAAAAACTGGGCTGGAAGCGGCGCTCGTCTGACATCATCAGTCTGTTGGTCAGCATCTACGGCAGCAAAGACATCTTCATAGACGAGTACAGAGCTGTGCTGGCTGATAGACTGCTGCACCAGGTCAACTACAACACAGCCAGGTGACACCACACCCCCACCTCCACAGAATCATCCTCCACCTCCATGTGCTCAGTAGTTTCCTGTGTGTGATTACAGGGAGATCCGTAACGTGGAGCTGCTGAAGCTGCGGTTCGGAGAGTCTCATATGCATTACTGTGAAGTCATGTTGAAGGTAGACCCGTCTTCACACTCTCACACTGGTTCTTCTGTCATTGGACCAGCAGCTAAAACGACTGACTTTCTGTATAGACTTGGTCTGTGATCTAAAGTCACTGGTTTTGGTTTGGTTGTAAACCTGTTCATCTCTTCTTCTCCTCCTCCTCCTCCTCCTCCTCCTCCTCCTCCTCTTCCTCTCCGTTCCAGGACATGGCTGACTCCCGCAGGATCAACGGTAACATCCGTGAGGAGGAGGCAAAGCTGGGGGAGCAGGAGCAGCCGCTGCAGTTCCTGTCAGCCATCATCCTCTCCTCGGAGTTCTGGCCGCCGCTAAAGGAGGAGAAGCTGGAGCTGCCTCCGCCCGTCTCCCAGGCCATGGAGACCTACACCAACCGCTACCAGAAACTGAAGGTGGGGCCAATCCTGGAGGTTTCCTTCTTATGTTTAGTCCGCTGGTTCTTATCCAACCCACGGTTGTTGTTTCAGGCCATGAGGACTCTGAGCTGGAAGCCTCACCTGGGGTCAGTCACCCTGGACGTGGAGCTGGAGGATCGCGTCCTCACAAACCTGACGGTGTCACCCATCCACGCCGCCATCATCCTGCACTTCCAGGAAAAGAGTAGGTTCTGTTTTCAGTCGTGTTGAGGTTTCTCTCCTGAGATGATGAAGACGATGATGATGATGATGATGGGTCTTCTGTCCTCCAGGCTCATGGACATTGGAGGAGCTGAGTGTGAAGCTGGGAGCGCCGAAGGAGCTGGTGCACAGGAAAATAGCCATGTGGCAGCAGCAGCTGGGGGTGCTGAGGGAGGAGGCCGGGGGGCGCTACTGCGTGGTGGAGAGGGGCTCAGCCAAGGAGAAGCCGGAGAGAGGAGTGATGCTGATCGACAGTGACGAGGAGCGAGACTCCAACACCACCACCCAGTCGGAGCAGAGGGAGGAGAAGCTGCAGGTACGAACGGACCACCGTCGAAGGGTGGTTCAGTGGGTTAGGGTTCGAGGCGTCTCAGCTGTGGTTTGAGTTTAAAAAAAAAGGTTTAGTGTGAACAGGAGAAGGAGAAGAACTAACCTGTCCATGTGTGTCCGTCCTCGCAGCTCTTCTGGGCCTACATCCAGGCCATGCTGACCAACCTGGACAGCATGACACTTGACCGCATCCACTCGATGCTGCGCATGTTCGTGGCCACCGGGCCGGTGGTCACTGAGATGGACGTGAACGAACTGGAGGCCTTCCTGCAGAGGAAGGTCAGGGAGCACCAGCTGATGGTGTCTGCGGGCGTCTACAGACTCCCCAAATCCAGCTAACGCCCTGGGACCCTGGTCCTCCTGAAGCCCACCCACCTGGAGCACTTCCTGTTTCATCATCATCATCATCATCATCAGAGACTGTCCCCCCCCTGTAGATGAACGTCCAGGCGTTTCCTACTGATGAACAATATTTTTGTTTGAATTAAAAAGACCTTCCAGAACATATTTCTGCTTTTTTTATTTTTTTTTTTATTTCCTGTAGTTTTGGATTCTCCCATTTTTTTCCCTTTAAACCCTTTTTACCCCCCCCCCCCCCCCCCCACCTTCTGCTGCAGACACACAGTGGACCAGACTGAGAAGATTCCTGGTGTGAACACAGACAGACTCACGGCTTTATTTAGATTCTCACACAAACAGGACGTTTATATTAAAAACACGAGATGAAACAACAAGGTGTAGGCTGTTCACACTCACACAGTCGCACAAACAACCACGCACACACACACCCACAGTCACACACACACCCACAGTCACACACAGTGGTCGAGCCAGTGCAGAGGTTAAATCCACTTTAGTTCCAGTGTCTTTGTCGGAGTCACAGCTTGTCTTTAAGTGAGATTACATGTCATGTGATGTGATGTGATGTCATGTCATGTGATGTCATGTGATGTGATGGTCCGCCTCCTCAGAGCTCCTGCTCCATGAACAGTTTCTTCTTCTTTGGATTTATTAAAAATGAACAGATTGTCAGTCCAAACACTGAAGGTCAATCAGGTTACAAATTAAGATTTGACGATGACAAAGTTATCCAGAAAGCTCTTTGACCAGCCCGTCATGAGGCTTCCTAAAGGGACAGTTCAGCCGTTTGTGGTGATAAATGAGATGCTCATTATTAGCGCCACCTTCTGCCAAAAGCATGACCAACACAGCTGTCACTGGAGTTTTTGGGAAAACTATCTCAGTGTTGGACAAACTTACCAACTTTAAAAAAAAAAAAAAAAAGTTTTTGTTTTTTTTAAAAACTCACTCTCCCAAAGTCCATAGAGAAAATCAGTGATTTTAGCGCAGGTTTACATCCATGATCTATTAAGAGTGAGATAAAGATGAGAACAGATTTTTTTTTTTGATAATTATAGGAGTGATAATAGTAACAGTTAGAGCCAGGCCTACAGCTGAAGTCTGATTGGTTCATGGAGAATGACTAAATCTGTCATTGAATCTCACTGCAGAACAGCTGAACTGTCCATTTCAAATCATTTCCGTCCTCTGCCGCCTGGACACTGGTCTCTGAAGGACAGCCTGGCTGCGTCCCAGGTCCACCCTCAGGTCCTCAGCAGCATTTCTTCCCTCTCTTGCGACGCTCTCGGTCCCTCTGGGCGATGATGTTGACCGTGTCCTCTCTCTCCCGCTCCCTCTCTGCTCGGTTCTGGCTCTGTTTCTTGGCCTTCAGAACCATGCGAGTGAAAGTCATGAACATCTGCAGCAAAAAAAGGAACACGTTCTGTCAGGACTTTGAGTGGGAAAAGTTTCTGTTTCAACTCCTTTACTGTGTCCATTAGTACTAATCCTATTCATGTATGTAACAGTACCAACAGTTACTGGACGTTGTTAATAAGTCCTAACTGAGTGACTCGGCGCCTCCTACTGTTTGACTGCGGTCACAGTTACCTGAACACAGACAGACAGACAGACAGACAGGATGAGCTCACCTCTTCTACGTTGATGTTCTCCTTGGCGCTGGTCTCAAACACGCGGACGCCCACCGAATCTCCAAACTGCATCGCGTCCGTGGTGTCCACCTGTTTCCTGGATGGATCGTCGTTCTTATTTCCCACTGGAACAGGAAACAGGAAGTTGATGGACTTTCAGAGTTTTGAAGTAGAACTGAGCAGAACATCTGACCCCGAGCGAATGTTCCTGAGAAACTTCTCTCAAAATCTGGCTTCAGAGTTAAATCAGTTCCGGTTCCTCAGCCAGCCTTCGTTGCTGACACGGGTAACCGTGTACTGTAACACTGACCAGAACTCTGGTGACGGAGGTTCTTTGAAAAATTAAAACCTTAAACAGTGAGGAACACAGCTCTAGATCCTCCTGTTCCTAAAACACCATCAACAACAAGGAACGTTTCTGGTACTGATAGTTCCTGATAATGTGTTTCTTACAGATTATCAGGAACTATCAGTACCAGAAACTTTCTAACTTTGGGATCAGTTCCAGATTTTTCAAACCGACCTGTCTGCCCAGACAAAAACACACAGCTGAGCCCCCTGGTGTCAGGAAACCCACTCCCCCTCTGCTTCAGTTCTGGACTAGAGGGTGGAACAGGAAGTGCCTGTTTTTATGTAGATTTGTTCTGGAGCGCCACCTGTAGGTACAGTGACTCTGAACTCACCCAGGATCTTGCAGACGCTGTCACAGTTCTGGGAGATTTCGTTCAACCACCTCTTCACGTTGACGAAGGACTCGGGGTTGGTCACGTCGTACACGATGATGACGCCGTGTGTGTTTCTGTAGTATCTGTGGACGGATGAATGAAACACACAGTCAGTCCACGCTCAGCTGCTGTCCACGGGACTGACGGCGAGGTGAAGGTTTACGTGGAAGTGATGGTTCGGAATCGCTCCTGTCCTGCCGTGTCCCAGATCTGCAGCTTCACACGCTCGCCGTCCATGTCCACTGTTCGAATCTTGAAGTCCACGCCGATGGTGGTGATGTAGCTACCTGCAGGAGAAGGAAGTAAAACAAACTGTGAATGTCTTTAGATCTAAAACAGACGACAGACACCTAGCAGAAGGCTAACCGACAGCTAGCATAGAGCTAACAGAAAGTGAAAGGCAGCTAGTAAACTGACATTAGCCAGGAAGGTTGCTAAACAGTTAGTTTAGTTTCTAAAAATCACACCAGTTTAAGACTCTTAGTAGTTAGCTAGCTAGCTAGATTAGTTAGCCAGGTACAAAGTGGAGAATCTTAAGCTTAACAAGGACAGCTAAATGTTAGCAGAGAAATGGTTACATTTGTGTTGTTAAGTTGTTAGCTTGACTGTAGTTTAGTAACAGTTATGTTAGCAAAAACATTGTAAAAGTTTAAAACTAGTTAGGTGCAGAAATATTAGTTAAGTCATTAGTCTGAAATGAATAATTAGCTTAGGTCTGGTGACAACGACGGCTGGTGTTAGCCTGCGTTCAGGAAAGAGGGGAAGAAACTAATTTAAACAGTTTAACCAACGTGTGTGTGTCGTTGGTTTTTCGTTTTTTACTAACCAGAGAATGAGTTGTCTGCAAACCGTAGGAGGAGGCTGCTCTTCCCAACATCTGAGGAGGGGAGTCAAAGAGAGAGAGGAGGGAGAAGGGGAGAGAGGGGAAGTGTGATGCAACAACAGCAGCAACGTTAGCATCTCAACATTCAGACCAGACCTGATGGAACTTCCTCCTCCTCAAACCTGCACTCACTGGAGTCTCCGATGATGAGCAGCTTGAACAAGTGGTGGTAGTCTTTCCCGGCCATCTGGGGGCTCTGCTGGTGGAATCTCCAGGTAAACCACTGTGACGGATGAGTGCTGTCTGCTCCAGCTGACCGATGCTACGAACCCAACGCCGCACAGCACTTTGTCCAGAAACCACAGACCGTCTTGGACCGGTACCAGAACATCTCCCTCACGATTCGGTTTCTTTCAGAGTTTTTCCCAGCACCAGTGCAGGACACGAACGCTCCTCCTCTCAGCAGTGACTCAGGCTCTGTGGTTGTGATCCGACACGTGGTTCCTGCTGTAGTTCCCTTTCTGGGCCGATCGAAGTGCAGCGTCTGAGAAAGAAGGAGAACTCCTGATGTCTCAGCAGGTTTGGCCTCCTCCTTCTGAAGTGGACAGTCTAAGGCCCCATGGCGGAGCAGTTGCTGTCCCGAGCTCCTTCACTGCTCCGTCAGTGCCCCATCACTCCACCACCGACGGCGTTTCCTCTTTTTTTTTTTATTCCTGGTGTGTTCTGGGAAATGAAATCACTGTTTCCAAATGTTCTAACGGTCCAGGTTCAAATGCAATGAAATGAGCTGAAAAAGAACAGGAAGAGGAAGAGTTCAGTCACAGGTCACATGACATCACATCGCCCAGTTCCTCAAAAAAATAAGAAAAAAGCAAAAAAGCTAGGCTAAATATTAGTTCCTTTTCCTGACACTGAAGACCATTTCCCAAGAGAGACAAAACAATAATGAAACAATGACAATTCCACTGTTCCACAATTCTACTGCTTGGTACCAGGAACTGGGGGTACCAGGACTCTGGACATTAAGTCTCTGAGATGTTCTTTAGAGAAGGAACTATGTACGATAGAACAGAATAAAAAGTTCTGTTCTTCTTTAATGGTGAGATAACATGTAACAATGTTCTAGGGGTTTTAAGTTGACAAGTTGATGATGACATCATTGATTTTTTTTTTTAAATCCCAGGGGTTAAAATGCTTCTCTAACAGCTCTGTCTTCTTCGTTGTTCGTGTCGTTAGCATCACAAACATGTACATTAGTCATGTCGATCAGGTGACTAGCATTAGTCGACGAGTCGATTAGCCTCTACGTCCCCTACAAATGTCTCCGCCTACAAGTGTTTTCTGTAAGATCCAAACCGGTTCCTTCAGTGGAACCAGAAATGGTTCCTTGTAATCTTCCCTCTTCCTAAAATTACTTCATGCAGTGGAAAAAAAAAAGTTAGCTTTGCAGCATCCAAAAAGATAAATTCGATTTTTTTTTTACCACCATTTAACTGTATCACCCCAGTGTCAACAGTCTAGACCCTGTAGTGACGTCATGTCACGTTTGGATCACTTAGACCTGTGAACGAACGGTAATCTGAGTTATAGTTGTTGGTAATAATTCCAGAATATATATATAAGTGTTCCTGGAACTTTTCTTAAAGCCCATGTAGTGGTACCTATGGTGGAAACTACTTTTCTTAAAGTCCATGTAGTGGTACCTATGGTGGAAACTTCCAGACACCTGGCACTAATTCTCAGTGCTGGTCCCCACAGTGGAAGCACACAGTTCTTAGTACTACCTTTGTAATCACGGACTTATTTGAAAGACTTTGAACCGGTTTTTTTAAAGCAGTTTCCAAGTTACAACAAATAAAGATGTTTTAAAATGAAAGAGAAAATAACTACACACTGGCTCTAAGCACCGTCCCCGCATCGTCAAGTCTCGTAGGACACTTTAAACGTCGCTAAAACCGCCGACAATACGACTCATCTTTTATTAATCGCGAGAAATCTGTGAACCGCACTTTCCTGCACAAATCGCCCACGAAAATCGACCTCAAACCGCAAAGGTTTTCTGAGAACAAGCTACATTTAAACGCAACGATTTTGTCAGCTTGAGCTGCGGGGCTTACAACATCCGTGAAAAAAATGTATTTACCTTAAGCTGAGATTTCTTCGGCCGAACATACAAAGAAGTTATGGCGCATAAAACAAATGTTGGTTTATTATCCTGTGACCACCGGCCCGTTGCGAAAGTCAGAAAACGCCCAAAGTTTGTGTTTTTCCTCAGGAGTCTGGAGCGTAGGTGTGAGGGCCCGGCCCAGGCCTGACTCACGACAACGGCAGCAAACTTCCTCTTTACAAAGTTTCAGGAAGAAAGAAGAAACCGCGTTTACGGGGACTCACGTCGGTTCTGCGGCTGCTCTGCTCCTTTTACTTCCAGTTCAGGTCCATAGCCGCGGTTCCACTGCCTCTCTGAACCGGACAGTCCCGGTCCGTGAGTCTGTTCACTGACCACACCTGAGGCTGCTGATGATGATGATGCCGCTGCTACGTTCAGGGAACCTCGTAAAATTACTTTCTTTTTCGTTTTGTTGAACTGAAACGTGATTCAACAACGAGTAGTTTCAACGAAAGAATCGCAGTTCTGGTCGACGATTATTTGTGTGATTTTTTTTTTTTTTGAGACCATGTTTCACTTTTCTTTTTTTTTCTTTTTTTTTGCCGTAAGATAAAGATAAACAACCTGTTGGTCATGGTCCCTTATAAAGGTTACGTTGAGGACGTTATGTGGAGGGCGGGTCACTAGTGTAGCGAGTTCCCCCAGTTTGAGGTGGTTCAACATCAGTGGAAAAGTGAAAATATTATATTATATTATTATACTATATATTATATGTATGTGATCAGTCAGTAAATACCGGGTGCTCTGCATATTTTTTTAATTAGGTTTTTTTAAACATTGTTAGTAGTTTTATTAAGCCGTCCTTAAATGCCTTGAGTTAGTCTTGTTTTGTTCTTGTGTTGTTTATTTCTGTGACTTTTTTCTGTGACTTTTTTCTCTGCTATCTGTAAATAACAGATGTGCTGTGAATACAACAATTCCCCGAGGCATGTGATCAATAAAATTTCTCACTCATTTGTTTGTATTTAATGTTCGTGACAAATATATATTAATATTGAGAAAAAAACAAAGATGTAAATAATAAATCTGTGACACGACAGTCAACATACCTCCTTCAACAAATGTATGACTTTATGATTTCACTGTTAAAAAGTCTCCAGTTTGTCCTCAGTGATTGACATTGACACAAACTGACCACTGGGGGCAGCAATGGTTTCCTCCGAGGCCTGGTGCGAATCAATGAGCAGAGCAGAGTGACCAGACTTCACACAGGTTAAATGTACAACTGTCTTTAATTGTTTTTATGAATCATTTGTCAACAAAGAAATAAACACAACTCATTTCCCGCTCACATGAAATTGAAGTTCACATCTACCACACGGTAACAACCAAAACTACAGGCAGCTCATATCTACACAGTCAACACTGACACAAGCAGAGGAAGGAGGCCTGATCTCCTGTAGACCCGGCACCATCATCTCTCCTCAGAGTGACGGCCATCTTAAAAATACCACTTATGTTGACGTTCACCATGGCTGGATGTGGATCACAGAACGTCGGCTGAAAATGTGGGCGGCGACAGCAGGTGAGAGGACGTCGATGGAGAAGGTCGATCTTTACCGAGTCCTCGGGACAGAAGGGGCTCGTCACGCAGCACAGGTTTCAGTGGCAGGTCCAAACAGGGTCCTGTCCAGCTGTTCTTGTCTGTGTGTGGGGCATTTTTTTTTAAATTCAGTTTGCATGAGCAGTTACAGAGCCCTCTTCAGGCATCAAGTCGCCACTGCCTCGGGGCAGAAGACTCTTTATTTCCTCCGTCTGCTGTTGGACGAGCGACTCGGTGACTGCCGACTGCCACTCCTACAAAGACAACAGTTCCATGTTAGTCACTTGAGTGCACGCTGCTTCATCTCCTACACCAGTAGATCACAGAGGAAGAACAGAGTATAGATCACGAGCAATTTAAACAATTGAATCATATTCTGCCATATTTCTCTTTTATGATGACATAGAAGAGAAAAGCTGACACTGGCTTCATCAACGACATAAATGAAGAGAAAAGCTGACACTGGCTTCATCACCGGGTGTTCATTAAGATCTGTGTTACAAAGAGAGCCAGTCGGCCAGGGCATTGAGGACAGAAACCAGACTGACCTGCGGCTCGGTGACGCCGGCGCTGCCGTTCTCACGTGTCTGGGTGGAGAGTAACTGAGCGAACGGGAGTCTCTGAGTGAATCGGCCGGTACCCGCTGAGGCCTGGCCGGACTGTGAGGATAACAACATGAGGTCAGCACAACCATGTTGGATGAAACAGCACCCCCTACATCTGTGTGGTGTCCCCTTTACCTTTTGTCCTGTCCTTTCTTTTCGTCCTCAGACGAGGAGGATGAAGCGCTGCTCCGACCCTTGGTTCTGCTCTGACTGTTCAACACACGTATTTTCATCATCATTTATGAAGGTGATAATAAACAGGCTTCAAAAATATTTCCAGCTCAAGTTTGACTTAAAAAAAATTCCATTTTAAACTCTTCAGCTCCTTTCAGCTTTTAACTTTTTTTTTTTTTTTTTGCAGAGTTATCCCTTCTGACTACAACCATTTTTTGTTCAGCGCTCATGCTACATATGTAGGGGCTAGCCTTTTTTTTCTTCAGGGTTATGCAAATTTAAATGCTAATAATAGCTAGTAGAACATGGTTAGCTATTCTCTGCTGATAGTTACAGTAATGCTAGGCTAAATTTAGCCACAGTCCACTTCCAGGTGTTTTTCCCGACTATATTTATAATAACATCCTATTTTTAGCTGACCTTTAAAAGAAATTCATCTATAAATTTTAAACTCACAATTACAATCACAAATTTGTTTCTGTTATTGGCTCGATTTCACTTTTTCACTAAGCCCTAAGCTAAGTTTTGTTAGTTAAATGGTGGTAAATCTTCTCACCTCGGTGCTTGCTCAACTTCGGAGTCAGAACTCTCAGAGGAGGAAGATGAAGATGAAGACGAAGAAGAAGAGGAGGAGGAGGATGAAGAGGACGAGGAGCTGGTGCTGCTGCTTCTTTTGCCCTTCTTGTTTTCCTCCTTGCCATTCACGGCATTCCCATTCTGGAGCATTTGGTCGGAGGGTCGAGGAGCTGCTGACACTGGCGACTGCTTCCTGGTTGGACCCGGCGGCTGCATTCTGGTGTCTGATTGGCTGCAAGCTGGGGATCGTCTAGAGGTGGGGCGCCTGGACTCGGGCGTGGAGGCTCGTCCACCAGAGGGCAGAGTGTGGGAGGAGTCTTTAGTAGGAGAGGCAGGGAGGGGTTTTTTTTCTTGATCCCTCTTCACATCTTTATGTGAAATGGTTTTAGTGTCTTTACTTTGGCGAACGGGAGATGGTGAAGATGAAGAGGAGGAGCTGGAGGAAGATGAAGAGGAGGAGGAAGAGGAGGAGGACCTCTGAGGCTGGGGTACATCTTTTTTGTTCCCTCTGTCTTTCTCTGGTTCTGCCTCCTTCTGTCCACTCAGCTCAGCTTTTCTTTCAACTCCTTTCCCTCTGGAGATGGAGCGACTACTTCTCCGTCGCACCTGTGGAGACGGAATCCTACGGGACCTGGAAAAGAAGATTTGTTTAAGGGTAAATTCAGATTTTTACACTTCAACTGTAACATAAGGGGCAGTGGTGGATTAGTGGTTAAAGAAGTGGACTTGGGTCTGGAAGGTTTCAGGTTCAAGTCCACCACTGAGGTGCTCTGAGCAAGGCACCGTCCCCACACAGTGGTGTGCTGTGTCACAATGACAAATAATTTTTTTTCTAATGAGCAGGAGTACTGCTCAGGTACGTGTTCCTGCTCCTCTTACCTGCTGTGGGGGCTTTGTCTTCTTGGTCCTGTAGACCTGGATCTGCTCCGTCTTCTCTGACTCCTTGACCTGGACCTGCTGAGTCTCCTTTGGTTTCTACCTCTGGACCTGCTGCGCCTCCTCGGGCTTTTGGACCTGCCGTATCTCCTTAGGCTTCTGGACCCGCTGCGCCTCCTCGGGGTTCTGGACCTGCTGCGCCTCCTCATGCCTCTAGAGAGGGACCTGCTGCTCCGGCGCCTGGGGCTTTTGGTCCTGCTGCGTCTGAGAACATTGTCAGGTTCTCTTTCTCTCTGCCTCACGTTGTCTGAATGGGCCGGCAGAGGGGGAGAGGTTCTCCTGCGGGACGGAACCTCCTGGTACTGCCTTGGTGGTGTGCGTCGAGGTGGTGTGGTGGCTTTTTGGGAGGGGGACCTTGACCTCCTGCTGGAGGAGCTGGGTCTGTCACCCCCCCTGCTGCTCTGTCCAGGTTTTGTCCTGCTCCTCTCCGTTACCTCCTCAGCTCTGCTGCTGCCTCTGTTGTGCGGGGCGACAGAAGGACTGGTGTTGTCCTTTGCGGGGCTGTATCTCTGCTGAGGTTTGCCGTCGGACAGGGTGGGACCTCCAGGAGGTCTCTGAGGTGGTCTCTGTCGTCTGTCGGTCTGTGGACTTCTGGACTCTTTGGCCTCAGAAGTGGAGGCGGAGTTCTCTACACGACCGTTTGACAAGTATCGTTGCGTCGCTGCACCGACCGCGGATGGTGCACTTCTCAAAGATTTGCCCTTTGTCTCAGCCTTTGTGCCCTCATCTTCATCCTCAGAGGACGAGGATGAGGAGGATGATGATGAGGAGGAGGAGGAGGAAGACGATGAGGAAGTGCTACTGTCACTGCTGCTGCTCTTTGTCTTTTCTTCAGCCTGTTTCTTCTTCTTATCATCGTCTTTCTTCATCATCCTCTTCCTCTCTCTGTCCCTCTCTTCCTCCAGTTGGCGAGCATCCTCCCTTTTCCTGCTGCTTCCTTCATCGCCCTCTCTATCCTCTCCTGCCAGTCTGCTCGGGCGTCCGGACCTCTCCTTACCACCGTCTCTCCTTGTCTCAGTCTCTTCTCTCTTGACACCTTTTCCATCCCGTCCATCTGGTCTCCTCTCTCTTTCTTTTCTGTCTTTTTCGTTGTCCACATTTGTGAATGGACTTTTCTCAGCCCTCTGCTCCTTATCTCTGCTGCGCTCCCTCCTGAGGTTGTTCTTTTCGGGAGAAGTTGAAGTAAACGAGGAGTCATGTCTCGCCTTTTTGTCTAGTCTATTCTTGTCTCTTTCCTGCCCGGTTTCTCTGCCTCTTCTCATCTCTGGTTTAGGGGGAGGGGGAGGAGGAGGAGGAGGAGGAGGAGGAGGTGAAGGTGAAGACGAGTCATGTCTCCTCTTTTGGTACAGTTTCTCATGGTGACCGTCTCGTCCTCCATCTGTCTTGATTTTGTCTTTCTCAGGAGACATGGAGTCGTGTCTCTTCTTTTTGTACAAGTCCCGCTCGGTGTCTCGTCCTCGGTCCTTACCTGTCTCCAGTCTGGGTGGAGAAGGAGAAGATGTGGAGTCACGTCTCTCCTTGTCCAGTTTTTGTTTGTCTTTTTTCCGTTCCCCCTCTCTGCCTCGCTCTCCCCTTTTTTTCTCCTTGTCATTTGGAGAAGAGGAGGCGTTTCTCCCCTTTTTGTACAGTTCATTCTTGTCTTTTTCCTTCCTTCCTTTCCCCTTTTCCTTGTCCTGCTCGTATTCTCCACTTGATCGCCTGCTTTTCTCCATCTCTCTGCTCCTTGAAATCCTTCCTTGCTCCATCTCCCTTTCTTGGCTCCTTGAATGCTTTCCTTTCTGCATCTCTCTGCTCCTGGATCTTCTCCCCCTCTCTCTGTTCTGGCCTTTATCCATCTGTGGTTCTGGAGAAGGAGACGAGGAGTCATGTCTCCTCCTGGTGGTCTTCTGTGCCTCGCCCTTCTGTTCTCTCCCTCCCTCCAGATAAGAGCCCCTCTAGATGAAGGACAACAAAGGAATAATGAGTGAATTTTAGTTCCTGATATTTACCTGGACTTTATTACAGAAGAAAAACATTTATTTAAGGCATATTTGTGGATATTCTCAGTCATCATAATAATCTCAACAGCTGTTTTAAAAGTAGGCGGTTGGACTCGCCTCGTTTCTCCTCTCAACCAAGAGGCTTCACTAGTTCTACTTTTCAGGTAGGGAGTTTCAAGTGCCACACCCCCCTTTGGGGTGGATAAATACCTGAAACTCCCCCCCAGAAAGTCAACTTACGTGACGTGAGACCAGTTGCCTACCTTTAAAACCGTTTTTGACATTTATTTAAGGCCTTACCTTTTCTCCTCCCTGCTGTTGGGGGAGATGCTTGTCACTGCCGCGCCTCTTCCTCTCTGCTGATCTCCTCCTCGGCTCATCATCTGCACCTCTCACACTCTGCGGTTGCTGCTGGGACCTGGCTCCTGCAGGAGATCGGCTGTGAGGAAGAGTATGAGAGAAAAGTGATGAAGACGAGAAGAACAACAGAAGACAAACTCTGGTGGAGCCCAATCTGTGTCCTGCTCACCTGTGGGAGGAGTTGGAGGAGACACTGCGGTGTCGAGCAGCTTTTGTTTTCTGACGTTTGGAGCTGTCACTCTTTTTGTTCCTCTTGGAAATCTTCTGCTTCTCACTGGAGGAACTGAGAGGAAGAGTGGACAGATGAGAACCACACTGAAGCGGAGAAATAGCAAACTATGTCGGACTCGTTTTTTTTTTATCTTTGATTTAAGAAAAACATCCAAACTCAAAAAGTTAAACAGAGATGCGTTTAATGAAACCCCGCCACAAACGGTTCCCGGGTGTTAATGAAATGAAATTACATGGATTTATATTCGAAAACCATGGCCCTTTTAAACACACCCACCTGTGGTCTTCACTGTCTTCTGATGACTCCCTGAAAAGACAAACGAGATAATTGTGAAGGAAATCTGCTGAAACTTTCCAAACAGAGTTTCAGTTGAGAGCAGTTTACCGTTTCTTCGTCCTCTTCTTGGATTTTTTCTTGTCTCTGCGAGGAGACGAGGATGGACTCTCTGAGCTGCTGGGAGGAAAGGATAGAGATGTCAGTTACTCAGAGACTACATACACTGAGGTGAGGGTGCAGCCCGTCTTCTCACCTGTCTCTTTTCTTGTTTTTCTTCTTCTTCTTCCGACTTCTCTTCTTTGGAGGAGAATCTGAGTCTTCTGAATCTTCCACCAACCTGAAAATCAGTAGAAGATCAGTAAAAGAGAACAAAACCAGAAACACTAACCAGAATACAAGCAGGAATACAAACAGGAAATCAAAAAAAGATGACATTCACAAACCAACAAGCCACTACCAACCTACAAAACAACTTATTCATTGGGATCAAAATTAAACAAAATACTTAAGAATAAACTTAGCGAAAATAATTCAAACACTGGTAGAGATTAATTATGGCCCCCTCTTAACAAAAATTAAAAAAGGCACACAGATGGAACTTGATTTTCTTTCACAGAAATGATTCTGTAAGGGGTGAAAATATTTCCGTCCTCAAGGGGGGGCATGACCGACTGGCTGAGCTCAGGTCTAAGTATCTCATACGTACCTGAAACAACAAAAACAACTTTATATTCTGAAAAGTTTTTCCTCACGTGTATTTCTGCTGCTGCAGCTTCTCCCTCTCCAGACGCTCCTGCTCTCTCCTCTCCTTCTCTTTCTCCTTGCGGTCGGCGTGAAAGGATGAACCGTCCACATAGTCACTGGAGATTCCAAAGGCGGCGCGGAGGCGGTCGTTCTTCTGTTGGTTTGCTGCGGCCAGGGCATGAGTCTCTGTCGCCCTGAGAAACCAAATGTTCTGTAAGTAAATACACATGTGCTGCCCCTTCTGGCATTTCAGTGCATTACAGAGCACGGCTGTTTTTCTGACAAAGTTTTTCC